ACTCTCTGAGTACGGTTATCCAGCCAGTTATGCATCCACCTTATAGTAGCCCCATCTAAGTTGTATTTGCCTAGTTTATTGACAAGAATATCATGCGAGACCATATCAAACGCCTTACTAAAGTCTAGGTATACCACATCCACCACTTCTCCCTTATCCACAAGGCTCATTATCCTATCAGAGAAAGCTATCAGATTGGTTTGACATGATTTGTTCTTTACAAATCCATGCTGGCTGTTCCCTAGCACCTTGTCACCTTCCAAGTGTTTACAGATGGTTTCCTTTATTACTTGCTCCATTATCTTCCCTGGCACAGAAGTTAAACTAACTGGTCTGTAATTTCCTGGGTTGTTCTTGTTTCCCTTTTTATAAATGGACACTATATTTGCCCTTTTCCAGTCTCCTGAAATCTCTCCTGTCTCCCATGATTTTCCAAAGATAATAGCTAGAGGCTCAGATACCTCCTCTATCAGCGCCTTGAGTATTCTAGGATGCATTTCATCAGGCCCTGGTGACTTGCAGGCATCTAACTTTTCTAGGTCATTTTTAACTTGCTCTTTTTTTATTTTATCTTCTAAACCTACCCCCTTCCCACTAGCATTCACTATGTTAGGCATTCCTTCAGACTTCAGTGAAAACCGAAACAAAGAAGTCATTAAGCTTCTCTGCCATTTCCAAGTTTCCTGTTACTGTTTCTCCCTTCTCACTGACCAGTGGGCCTACCCTGTCCTTGGTCTTCCATTTGTGGGGCTGGATCTGCCAGAGGGGACTGCATCAGGGCTGGGCACCTCTCAGCCTGCATCTTCTCCTGCCCAGCCAATCGCTCCTCCATACCCTGCTTGGCTATGGCTGCGTGCTGCTAGCCGTGGCCCTGCAGCCTGGTGCCAGTCCCCCTCTCTGCTTTCACCCCACTGGGCCTTGCTGGAGTGGATGAGATGCCTGCTCCAAACACTGCTGCCTCCCGCACCATCTGTGGGCTAGGCTCTCGTTTTCTCCATCTGAGCTCTTTGGGGTGCAGTATGAGGAAGGAGGCCATGTGGCTGACCTCTCAGAATGGACATACTGACTGCCTGGAAAGGACCAAGGAGGCCCTGCCCCATGGGACTTGTGTGACGTAGTGGGAGTACTTGCTGGGCTGTGGTGACCTCTGCTGTCTGGAGCAAGACCCAGCAGGGAAAACCTCACTATGCAAAGGTGACGCCAAACCTGTTGAACCAGACACCCCCCATGGAGAGGAACAAAGGAAGGGGGAATGCTGCCCTGGCTGGGGGGCAGGGCTGGAAGAGTGTGAGTTAGTTGCTGTCTGGGAGCATGGAGGAGACAGCCTAGGGAAAGGGGCTGGAGTTTAGGGGCCCAGTCTCCCCCCATCTCAAGGGGGCCTGAGGCATCCTAGCCCAGCTCTGTGACCAGATTACATCTATGCTGTGCTGTATCCTGGAGAGGCAATAAACTTCCTCTATTCCACCGGCTGGTGCAGTCTGTTTGTGCCATTTCAGGGTGCAGGAGATGGGGGACCCCCAACGCGCCGTCACAACTTGTTGAGTCAGGAACTGTTGGGATGGCCACAGGGATGAGAGAGGATCATGTTTTGGGTGGGGTGATGGGAAGCAAGTGGGAGAGATTACAGTGAGCCAGGGGTTCATTGGGTGCTGGTGAGTGGGTGACATGGGAAGGGCGGTGAGGGGGAGGGGCAGGGTTGAGGGGTGACAGTGAGCAGCAGTGGATCTCTCTCTCCAGGGAGCGCGTCAGGCAAGACCACAGTGGCCAACAAGATCATTGAGGCCCTGGATGTGCCCTGGGTGGTGCTGCTGTCCATGGACTGCTTCTATAAGGTGAGCCGGTGCGCCCCTGTGGGAAGGGAGAACCCCAACCATCCAGGGACCGTGGAGGCTGAATCTCTGCGCTGCACAGGGCCCAGCTCTGAGGTGGATCAGCTGCTGTGAATGGAGGTGAGGGGGGCAGGCTTCCTGAGCTCTTCCCAGAAATGTCTCGTGCCTGCAAGCCAGCCCTGGATGCCCACCGGGAGGCAGCTGTTTGGGGCCCATATTGATGGTGGGGAGGGGTTAAAGGCTCTGTCTGAATTTTGGTAGGTCTAACAGACTGAGTTTATGCCATTTTATGCCTTCCTGTGCCTCTCCCCCCTCCCTTCCACATACTGTGCTTTTGCCCTTCCCCTGTTCACTGTGCTGCTCCCCTCTCCCTATGGCTCTGTGCCCCTGCCCAGGTGCTGAATAAGGAGCAGCAGGAGCTGGCTGCTCACAACGAATACAACTTTGACCACCCCGATGCCTTTGATTTTGACCTGCTGATAAGTGTGCTGCGCAAGCTGAAGAAAGGCAAGAGTGTCAAGGTGCCGGTGTATGACTTCACCACGCACAGCCGCCGCAAGGAGTGGGTATGTGGGGTGCAGGTGGAGAATCCCCTGGATATAGGGCTACACTGTCCCCAGCTGAGGGATGGGGGCAGTGGGCTCTGTGTATGTGGGAGGAATGGGCTGTGTGTGGACAGGGTTTTAATAGGTCATAGGTGTGGGGTGCAGTGGGGGAGCAGATGGAGGCGGAGGATGGTTACCAGTCTTTGCATGTGACTCTTCTCTCCCTGCAGAAAACTATCTATGGGGCCAATGTTGTAGTGTTTGAGGGGATTTTATCTTTTGCCAACAAGGAGTTGTTGAAGGTATGGCTTGCCTGCTGGCACGAAGCGGTGCATGGGGCAGAGGGCCAGGCCTGGGTGCTGGCTGGCACAGGGCGGTACCTGGGGCGGAGGGGCACTGGCCTATGTACCTGCTGTGGCCTGGCCTGGTTCAGTGCCTGTGAACTAGTGGAAGGACTGATCTGTTCTCAGAGCACCCTGGGTGAGAGGGGGAGGTATGAGAGTCTGGTCTGGTGTGCATGTGTGGGGGTGGGATAACGACCAGCTCTTGAGAAACATCCCATTGTGCTCTGTGTGGTTACACCTGGTGGGCAGGGAGAGATCAGAGCTGGCTGGGTGTGTGGGGTGGTAGATGGGTCCTCACCCTCCTCAATCCTCAGCTCCTGGACATGAAGGTATTTGTGGACACGGACTCTGACATCCGGCTGGTACGGCGGCTGCAGCGCGACATCATGGAGCGCGGGCGTGACATCGTGGGGGTCATCAAGCAGTACAACAAGTTTGTCAAGCCAGCCTTTGAGCAGTACATCGAGCCCACCGTGCAAGTGGCCGACATTGTGGTGCCCAGAGGTGAGGCTGCACGGGGGCTCTGAGTCGGGAAGAAGCTGGAAGGGCAGGGTGGGTGTGACAGGCTGGGTCTGAGCACCACTGAGGGCGTCTGCTCAGGGCGAGTTGCTCAAAACCAGGGCTGCTTACAGCCCCAGACTGGAGACCTTTCCCAAACAGGTCACAAACCAGTCACAGAGCACTCCAGCTGCCGATCTGGCCAGCAGGAAGCCTCATGAGCAAAACCCCTCAGACATCCCAGCTCTCCCTGTGCCACAGTCAGCCCCGGGCCTGCACACAGGTGAGGGGTTATAGAACCCAATCTCACCTACCCCGAAGGGGTTCTCCTGGTCACAAAGAACCAGCCACAAATCCCTGGTCAATTTATACTTTAGATCATGGGTTACCCAGGGGTGAGGGGGCGTGAAGAAATTCCAGGGGGGGCGCAAGGTGACCCATCCCCCCGTCAATCCCCCTCTCTGCCCCCCCCCAGGAAGAGGCCAGTCCGTCTGTCTGCTTGGGCTGGCTGGGACAGACTTCAAAATGGCTGCCTTAAAAGACCAATGCCTGCTCTGCTCTTAAAAGGCCATTTTTTCCCTTAAGTTTTGCTGCTGTTTTTTGGGGGAGGAGGGCATGAGGGTTTCTCAAAAATCAAAAAGGGGGCATGATGCTGAAAAGTTTGGAAACCACTCCTTTAGATCTTACCCACAGGAGCACACTGGACCAATCCTTTAGAATCTAAAATCTAAAGGTTTATTAATAAAAGAAAGAAAAGGTTGAGTGAGGTTAAGAACACATGACATGCACCAGTTACCAAGTTCTTGATGCAGGCTTTCAGCAGAGATGTTACAAACTGCTGTCTTAAAGGTCTCTGGTTACATCCTATGTCAGGATGGGTCAATGATCCTTCCCAGCTTTTTGTTCCTCACAAGGCTGCATTTAGGATCAGTAGCAGAATTGAAGACAAGATGGAGTATGCCTCATGGCATTTTATATCCATTCCTGGTACCTTCCAATCTGGAGCGGGTTACATGGTCAAGTGACCTATCCATGTGTCCCATGCCAGCAGCCATTAGATACTGACTGGTTTGCAGGTTGCCAGACACATTCCTCAGGTGCATATTGGGCGCCTTGAGAGCCATTGTCCTTGGGGCTGTGCTAGTTAGCATAGCCATTCATTGGACATTCCTTCCTTTCAGCAGGCAGAGAACATTCACGATACCAGCACAGAGTCCAGATTCATAACTACTCATATAGACCTCATACAAGTACATGAGTAGCATACACAGAATCAGTACAACATAAGCTTTCATTTGACACCTTACATGGTCCCCTTTGTACAGACTTTGGGGCAAACGCTCCCCATGGACACAGCAGTGATTTGGCTGTTCCCCTTAAAATCCAATAACGAGATACTGGGGCAGCAGATTGGGGGTGTGGAAATGTGTATGGGGTGAGGAGCTGAGCTCCAGGGGACGAGGGGATGGGGCTGTTGTCCATCTCATGCTCTTGCCCTCCTGTCAGGTGGGGAGAACTTTGTGGCCCTAGACCTCATTGTGCAGCATGTGCACAGCCAGCTGGAAAAGGTAAGGAGGCTGGGCCAGGATTGGGGGCTGGACCCTGCCCAGCTGCTGCCGCCTCTGGCCCCTTGTTCACTGCACACTGTGGGGGGACTTAAGCACCTCAGCTGTGTACTGTGGCTCTTGCTGACCAGGACTGTTCCCATCGTGAGGTCATTGGTGGCCTGCAGTGTCCCAGGTCAGCGTGGGAGGGGAAGAGTGAGTGCACGTGCCCTAAAGCAGAGGCCGAGCCAGGAGGCACGGTGTACCACATGGCACATCTCATTCTTCAGTGTGGCGCCCATCTAACTTGTAGCTGGCCCCTGCTCTCCTGAGCCCTCAGTCCTGACCTGCAACACCCTGCCAGCCTAGCCTTGGGCTCCTCCCCGCCCTTCGAGTGCCCTTCATTCCTGCCCGATAATCTTTGCCAGCCTGCTACTCCCTGGATATGCATGCACCCTCTGCCGATGTCTGTGCTGTGGCTTTCCCTCCTCAGGGTTAGCATCAGCAGAAGGTGCTAGGCTGGAGCACTGGTGGCCCTGGAGCAAGGGCAGCTGGGCTGGTGTTGGCTGGTGCTCAGCCAGCTGCGTGCAGTAACCAAATGTTCTGTTTCTCTCCCCACCCCCTGCCCTGTACTCACCTTGTTGCCTCCCGGCGTGGGCTCTCACCATCGCAGCGTGAAATCACAGTCAGGTACGATGGCCACAGAAAGGAACCTCTCTTTCCTCCTCTCACAGCTCAGCCCACTGCCCAGCGTGCAGCCTGCACCTGTCCTGGGGGCTGGGAGTGGGTCACGGCCTATGGTAGTCACAGGGCCCCAGCCATGCAGAAGAGCAGGGTGGGAAGCCTCGGTCCTGCCAAAGGGCTAGCAGTGCTAATGGTCCGTGATGCATGGCATGCATAGACACTGGTGCTGCTCCTGTAACTGGTCCCTGGGAGCCCCTGCACCTGCCCACTGAGAATGGCTTGGGTCCCTCCATGTGCCAGGGAAGAGTCCGTGTCTTGGTAGCTGGCTTAGTGTGGCACCATGGGTGCTGCCAACTACCTTTTCTCTGGAACCAGAGGGGCTCTGGAACAGGGAGAGCTCCCCAGAGGCATCCTTGCAGGTGCTCTGGAGCCTGGCTAATGACATGCTGAGCTCTGCCTCATGGGCGTGCGTGGTGGCTCTGACTGCTCTTCTTGCCTGCAATATCAGGGCACCTGGCCAAGCTGTGGGGCAGAGCTACTGTGTGTGGGGTGCTTGCTCAGCTCCTCCAGAGGGGAACTGGGAAAGGGCAGCAACCCCATACCTCGCTGCTCCCATGCAGGGGTGCTGGATATGCTCCTCTCAGATACTGCGTGGTGCTGTTGCTGCTAGGGTGTGGCAGGGCAAGGCCTGCCTGGCACCTGCCCCTTCCCTGTCTCTGCAGCTAGGTGGGCTAGGCTGCTTCCCTGCTCCAGGTGCTTTCGGCAGGTCCCTGCTCTCGCTAGGGCTGGGCTAGGCTAGCTGCTTCTCCCCTCCCAGCCCTGGTGGGCTGCCTATCTCTTCCCTGGCTCCTGTGCCCACAGCAGGAAGCTGCTGCTGCCTGCTGCCCTCTAATGCCCGTTTGTCTCTCTTTTGTCCTCCCTGTTGTGCCCTCCCCTGTCCCCGTTGGCCCGTGGCGTCTGCACCAGAGGAAGCTGCGCTGGGATATGTGAGGACAGTTTGTCTCCGTTCCTTCCCTGCCGCGCTGGCCGCTCCTGTGTGTGTTGCTTGGCTTGGTGTCGGGGGGAAGTCTCTTTGGGTGGTGACTTGCTTTGTTTGTCTCTGAGTCCTGAGCTGCAGCCCCCATGGAGTGGAGCAGATCCTTCCCACAGTGCTGTGTGTGTGTGTGACCTGTAGGCTGCTGCTGTCACCACAGCTGAGCTCTGGACCTCTCCACAGCCTCTTGGCACCACCCCCTGCCGGGCACCAGGATCTCGGCTGTGGGAGGAGGGCTCTGGTCACCAGGGGAAGGGGCAGACAGGCCGGTGGCAGAGGAACAATTCCTGCATCCCAGCTCAGTAGCTGCTAGCCCTGACTCAGGAGGATCCCGAGCACACCACACTGCTGGGGCTTTGACTTTTCTCAAGGGGCACTGGGCAAGCTGTTCCTTCATTTCCTCCAGAGAGACTGTTCATCAGCCTCAAACTGTGCCACAGCCGTGAGAGCAGCTGAGCCTGGGTGGGGTACCCAGAGGGGTTCAGGGCTGCAGAGGTCTCATAGATCCACAGCGTGGGAGCTATTCCTCCAGCCTTGGAAGTTTCTTTACAGAACCCTTCAATGGGCCTGACCCTGGGGG